TTTTACTCACTGAATGCAACCGACGTTGAAAAGAACTCACAGCTCGCGTGCAAAGTCATGGAAGAACTCGGCATCCCAGTTTACGTCATGCCAGAAGATTTAACCGCCAGCGGCGACAAAGTCGACGAGAAGACCCTCCTTACACAACTCGCTGCCGCCAAGGTTGTCCTCGAAAACCTCAAAGACAGAGACGCACACGCAAAAGAAGCTGCCGACCAATTAGCAAAAGAAAAAGCTGAAGCCGACCGATTAGCCAAAGAAAAAGCTGACGCTGAAGCAAGAGCAGAGGCAGAAAGACTTGCTCGCGAGAAAGCTGAAGCAGATCGTTTGGCACATGAGAAAGAAGAGGCCGACCGATTAGCCAAAGAAAAAGCTGAAGAAGAACGTTTAGCCAAAGAAAAGGCAGAAGCAGAGGCAAGAGCCGAAGCCGAAAGACTGGCCCGCGAAAAAGCAGAGGCTGCTGCACGCGCAGAAGCAGAAAGACTGGCCAAGCAGCGCGCTGAAGAAGAAGCCAAAGAAAAGGCCGAACGCGACGGTTTGTTGGCCGAAATCGAGCGTTTGAAGAAACTCTTGGCCGAATCAGAAGCGAAGAACAAGACGCTCACAACAAAGTTGAGCGAATCACAGAAAGACAACGAAAACTTGAGAGCTGAAATCGAGCGCCTCAAGAAAGCTTTGTCGGAGTCAGAATCGAGCCGCACTAAAATTGAGCAAGAATTCACTCAATTCAAACTGACGGCCAAGCAGGACCACGACAGACTGACGGCTGAAATTGAACGCCTCAAGAAAGAACTCACAACATCACAGGCGAAGGCAGCAGAAGACCACAACAAGTTGGCAGATGAAATCGAGAAACTCAAGAAAGACTCACTCGAAGATCACAACAAGTTGACTTCTGAAATCGATCGCCTCAAGAAGGAGCTCTCCGAAGCACAGCGCAAGGCACAAGAAGACCACGACAAACTCTCACAGACAATCACAACATTGAACTCAAAGATCACAACGATGACATCAGAGAACCAGCACGTCAAGTCTCAATTGGAAGAGTCACAAAGACAGGCCAAAATCGACCACGATCACTTAACCGGTGAAATCGCACGTTTGACCAAAGAATTGGCCGAAACGCAGAAGAACGCACAGGAGGACCACAACCACTTGACAGCGCAAATCACCAAGCTAAATGCTGAAATCGAAACCTTGAACAAGACTCTCTCTGAAACAGAACGCAAAGCGCAAGAAGACCACAGCAAACTCACTGCTGAAGTCTCTCGTCTCAACGGCGTCGTTTCAGACACACAACGCAAGGCGCAGCTCGACCACGACAACCTGACTGGTGAGATCGAACATCTCAAGAGAGATTTGTCTGAGTCACAGCGTAAAGCACAACTTGAACACGATCATTTAACTTCACAGATCAACAGCTTGAACACAAAGATCACAAGCTTGACATCAGAAAACACAAACTTGAAATCAAAGATCACTTCTTTGACTTCTGAAATCGAACGTCTCAACAACACTCTGTCTGAAACAAAGAGGAATGCACAAGTCGATCATGACAAGTTAACATCAGAAGTCAGCAGACTCAACTCCGTTGTTTCAGAGACAGAGAGAAAGGCCAAGCAAGACCACGATTCACTCACAAGCCAAATCGAGAGCCTCAAGAGAGAATTGTCTGAGACACAAAGAAGAGCCAAGGAAGAGAATGACAAATTAACTAACCAAAACTCAACACTTACAACAAAGGTTTCATCAATGACAACTGAAATCAGCAACTTAAACTCAAAGATTTCTCAATTAACTTCTGAACTCAACAGACTCAACTCAACAATCCCAGAGAACGAGAGAAAGGCCAGACAAGACCACGACAGTTTGGCTGCAGAAAACAAGAGACTGACAACAGAAATCGCAAATCTCAACCAGAAGATCTCATCAATGACATCCGAAATCAGCACACTCAAGTCAACTCTCTCTGAAACACAACGCAAGGCACAACAAGAGCATGACAGCTTGACCAACACAATCAACAGCTTGAACTCAAAGATCTCAACAATGACAAGCGAAATCACTCGCCTTAACAGCGTCAACAGTGAGACACAACGCAAGGCCAAGGAAGATCATGACAAACTAACAGCCGAGAACAAGAAATTGTCAACTGAAATCACCAACCTCAATTCAAAGATTTCAACAATGACATCTGAAATATCTCGTCTCAACAACGTCGTTTCAGAAACAGAGAGAAAGGCCAAACAAGACCACGACAATTTGACCAACCAAATCTCAAGCCTGAACTCAAAGATTGCTTCACAGACATCTGAGATCAACAACCTCAACACAAAGATCACAACAATGACAACAGAGATCAAGAACTTGAACAACACAATCTCTGAGAACCAACGCAAGGCACAACAAGACCACGACAACTTAACCAACGAGAACAGAAAGTTGTCAAATGAAGTTTCATCACTCAACACAAAGATCACAAACTTAACAACAGAAAACAAGAGACTGAACACCGTCATCACAGAGACACAAAACAAGGCCAAACAAGACCACGACAACTTGACAAGCCAAATCTCAAACTTGAACTCAAAGATTTCAAGCCAAACAACAGAAATCAACAACTTGAACAACAAGATCGTCAATGGAACATCTGAAATCAAGAGACTCAACAACGTCATCTCAGACACACAACGCAAAGCACAGCTTGATCACGACAACTTAACTCGTGATAACAACAACTTGACAACTAAAGTCACAAACATGACAACTGAAATCAAGAACCTCAACAGCACACTCTCTGAAACAACACGCAAAGCAAGAGAAGACCACGACAAACAGGCAAATGAAATCAGGAACTTAAACAGCACACTTTCTGACACTCAGCGCAAGGCACAGCAAGACCACGACAACTTGACACGTGAGAACTCAAACTTGAACAACAAGATCACAACAATGACAACAGAAAACAAGAGATTGAGCACAGTCATCAATGAGACATCAAACAAGAGCCAGACAGAATCAAGCAACATGAAGAATGAAATCAGAAACTTGAACAACACAATCCAGGACACACAACGTAAAGCCAAACAAGATCACGACAACTTAACTCGTGAAAACCAGAACTTGAACTCAAAGATCAACAGCATGACAACAGAGAACACGAACCTCAAGAAAGAACTCGCAGACACACAGCGTAAGGCAAGAGAAGATCACGACAAATTGTCCGCTGAAAACCAGAAGTTGAACAGCGAAATCACAAACTTGAAGTCAAAGATCTCAAGCCTGACATCAGAAATCGAACGTCTCAACAGGCAACTCGCTGATGCCAAGCGTGATGCTCAGCAAGATCATGACAAGTTGACTGCTGAAATCAAACGCCTCAACGACGCTTTGGCCGAAGCTAACCGTAAAGCTAAAGAGGACCACGACAGACTGGCAGCTGAGAACCAGAAATTGAGCACAGAAATCGCCAACTTGAAGTCGCAAATTGCAAGCTTGACAAGCGAAATATCGACATTGAAGTCAAAGATCCAGAGCATGCAATCCGAGATCGATCGCCTCAACAAGCAACTCGCTGATGCTCAGCATGCAGCTCAACAAGATCACGACAGGTTAACCGCCGAAATCAAGAAATTGAATGATGAAATCAACAACCTTAAGAAAGAGTTGGCAGACACACAATCAAAGGCAAGGCAGGACCACGACAATCTCACACACGAAATCAGCCGTTTGAACACTGAAAACTCGAGCTTGAAGTCCAAGATCACGAGCATGCAATCCGAAATCGACAACCTCAAGAAGCAGCTCGCAGACACGCAAGCCAAGGCCAAACAAGACCACGACAACCTCACAAACGAAGTCAGCAAGCTCAGGTCAGAAATCTCAAGCTTGAACTCAAAGATTTCATCGATGACATCTGAAATCGAGAACCTCAAGAAACAACTTGCAGAAGCCCAGCGCAAGGCCAAAGATGACCACGACAACTTGACACGTGAAATTGAGAGACTTAAGAAGGAGGCCAAAGACGACCACGACAAGCTCACACATGAAATCGAGCAATTGAAGAGCGAAATCTCAAGACTCAACAAAGTTTTGGCTGACACACAACGCGCGGCCAAACAAGACCACGACAAACTCAGTGCTGAAATCGATCGTCTCAAGAAGGAACTCTCTGAGACACAGCGTAAAGCCAAGGAAGATCACGACAACTTGTCACGTGAAATCGAGAAGTTGAAGACCGAAATCCAACACTTGAACCAAACCTTGGCTGACACACAACGCAAGGCCAAAGACGACCACGACAACTTGACACGCGAAATTGAAAGATTGAACAAAGTTTTGACTGAGACGCAACGTGCTGCCAAAGACGACCACGACAAACTTTGTGGCGAAATCGAACGTCTTAAGAAATTGTTGGCAGATTCCGAAAACCACGTCAAAGAATTGACTGCAACAATTGCTGACACACAGCGCAAGGCAAGAGAAGATCATGACGCTCTCACAAAGGAAATCGAAAGCTTGAAGAAGATGGTCGAATCATTACAGAAAGAATTGGCTGACACCAAGCAAAAGGCCAAAGACGACCACGATAACTTAATTGCTGAAATTGAGCGATTGAAGACAGAACTTTCTAAATTGAACATCAAATTGTTAGAAGCAATCCAAAACGCAGAAATCGACCATAACAACCTTTGCCAAGACATTGAGAAATACAAGAAGGCATTAGTTGACATTGGCTACATTGATGATGACACATTACAACAGAAAACCAAATAAAATATATAGAAAATAGATCTTAAATAGATATCATGAATAAATAGATTTTTATTTTTTTTAAATTGATTTTCATTTTTTTTTTTTTTTTTTTTTTTTTTTTTATTCATAGATATAAATATAACCAAATATGCATGATGGACAAATACAATCTAAGAATGAATGAAATTCTAACATATCAAATTAAATACATAGATTATAATTCATTAAAAAAAAAAGCAAAAAAATAGCTCCGGTAGGAATCGAACCCACATCGTAACGTTTAGAAAACGCTTGCCTTATCCTTTAGACCACGAAGCCTTCTTGAAATACAATATAAAAACAATAAATTTATTCATTTTATGCATATAAAATCAAATAATTTTAAAAACAAATTTCATTAATTATAATTTCAAATGAAAAGGAAATAAATTGTTTATTTTAATAACGATATCTTTGAATAAACATTTTCAATTTAATGTAAAAATGCATTTAATAGCTTTTATAAAAATATTTTATAATCTTTATTTTAGATACAAAAAGTTAAGTGACCAGTCAAATTAAAATTTTGGTGGTTACATTTTTGTTTACAAAAGTGAAATAACTGTACCTCCAAAATATCCCATTTTTGTTATTGTTGAAAAATTATGCCAGCTTAGTTTTTCATTTCATTTTTCAAAATGGCACTTCGCTTGCTCCAAAGAGAGCTTCGTGATATGAAGAGAGATCCTCCAGATGGATGCGATGCAGAGCCAGAAGGTCAAGACATGTTCCATTGGACAGGAACAATAATGGGACATCCAAACGACTCCATATGAGGAAGGCATTTTCTTTGTTGATATCACTTTCCCGCCCGATTATCCAAATCGGCATCCACGCTTAGCATTCAAAACGCGAATATATCATCCGAATAGCACTCCCAGGGGAACAATCTGCATCGAGTCCATATGCTGCAAGTGGGATCGTTCTCAAACAGTTGGAAAAGCGCTTTCGATTATTAGGTCACATTTGGCAAATCCAGACACGAGCGGATCACATTTTCCAGTCATAGAAATTCTACGACAATATTTGAATGACCGTGCTCAATATGAGAATACAGCAAGAGAATGGACACGACATTATGCAACTTAACTTTAATAAAATAAGTTTTTTGTATATATAAATTAGGAACCAAAAAAATCTTTTTTTTTTTTTTGGCATTAATAAATTGCATAAACCTCAGAAAAACAAACTTTTTGAGAATAAAAACTCTGAAAATTCTGAGATGAAAATTTTAAATAAAATTTTGAAATTTTAAATTTTATTTTTTCTCCCAAATGTGAATACGGATAACCAACATTTTAATTCCATTTTTTTTATATAGTATTATGCATAAAAGTTTTTTCTGCAGTTTAATTTTAAGATAATAAATGAAATGATCAAATATATTTGAAACTGTTTTATTCTCAACGTCGAGTCCTTTTATTGGCTTCAAATTATTATTAAATATAGAAAAATGAACCTAGAATTCAGTCAAGAAATTCCGATTTTCAAAACGAGTCATTCACAGAGAATCATGATTCAATCGATCACTGAAAAAATCAAATCATCCAATAGAAGTTCGTGTTCTAAGCAATGAATTCAAGAGAAAGTTGAAAACAAACATATAGAGAGTGAATTAAAAAAGTAAAAAGTCATATTTTATCAAAAAATTCGTGGAGAAAAGCAAATAAGTTTGCATTTCTTTCTGATTGACGAAAACTATGAAATAAAGAATGGTCCAATCATACGCACTTCACAATTCTCTGATTGGGTCCAGAATTAGATGATGATTTTGAGACAGCAGTAAGAATGGTTGAAGTTTTTTAAAATAAATGGTGCAAGACAGGCTCAATTAAATATCCAAATGATGCAATGAAATCAAAATTCTTACCAATAAAATAAAGAAAAAGAAGAGAATGAAAGTGTTTTTTTTAAAAAAGCAAAAAAATAGCTCCGGTAGGAATCGAACCCACATCGTAACGTTTAGAAAACGCTTGCCTTATCCTTTAGACCACGAAGCCTTCTTGAAATACAATATAAAAACATTAAATTTATTCATTTTATTCATCAAATCAAATAATTTTGAAAACAAAACTCAATTATTTTTCTCGTGGAGGAAAAGTCGTTAATTTTATGGAAAAACTGAGCCCATCGATTGGCCTTTTGATTTTCATCAATTTTTTTCCAAAATCTTGTTATATTTTTTTTTCCAAAATTTTTGCCCATTATTCCATTTAATTATTTTTGAAAAATGATTATGCCAAATTAGTTTTCCATTTCATTTTTCAAAATGGCATTTCGTAGGATTCAAAAAGAGCTTCGAGATTTGAAGAGAGATCCTCCAGAGGGATGCGATGCAGATCTAGAAGGTCAAGACATGTTACATTGGACGGGAACAATAATGGGACCTCTAGATTCTCCATATGAGGAAGGCATTTTCTTTGTTGATATCACTTTCCCGCCTGAGTATCCATTTAAGCCACCACATTTTGCATTCAAAACACGAATATATCATCCGAATATCACTCCCAAAGGAACGATCTGCATCATGGATATATGCTGCAGATGGAATCCAAAATTAACAGTTGGAAAAGCACTTTCGATTATTAGGTCATATATGGCAAATCCTGACACAAGTGGATACTATTATCCAGTAAAAGAAATTCTACACCAATATTTGAAAGACCATGCTGGATTTGAGAAAACAGCAAGAGAATGGACACGACAATATGCAACCGAACTTTAATAAAATATTTTTTTTTTCTGATATTAATATAATTTTTGGTGTTGAATGGGAGAAACTTTTTTAGCTTCCAAAGAAAAGGCAAAATGATCATTTATCATTAAACAAAATCTTTAGAAATTTATATAAAATTAACAGTAAGTTCATCTAGCTTGAATCCTCAGTCAGCTCTATATTTGAAAGGAACACCAATTTACATGGCACCAGAAGTTCTCTCAGATAAAGAATTTTCAAAGATTTCTAGTGCCATGATACGCGATGTTTATTCTTTTGCAAACATCGTGTATGAAATTGTGATAAAGAAGATACCATTTAAAATCAAGTCTTTGCTTCAGCTATTTAAGAAGGTTGCACTAGATGGAGAAAGGCCAATTATTGATGATGGTGTAATTGAACTTTATACAAAATTGATCGCCCTACATTTTAAGATATCACTGACAAACTTAAAAATAGCAGTGATTTCATTACTGATTGTGTTGATGAGGTATTTTACTTAGGCTTTTATAGATTTTGTAGATATTTTTGAAAGCACTTTCATCACCTCTCATAAACACATTACACTTGATGATTTCGTCAAAGGGAAGTATGGTAACTTGCAAGATTTAATTTTGATATTAAATATAAAGTGGTAGCCAATTTTTTAGACTTTGAATAAATTAATTCAATGATGATTGTGAGACTGTGGCAAAAATGGTTGTGGATGATTCAAATGAATGAAGCAAGACAAGCAAAGGAATCTAATTCTTAACAATAAAGTAAAGAGAAACTTTTTTTATAAAAAAAGCAAAAAAATAGCTCCGGTAGGAATCGAACCCACATCGTAACGTTTAGAAAACGCTTGCCTTATCCTTTAGACCACGAAGCCTTCTTGAAATACAATATTAAAACATTAAATTTATTCCTTTTAATGCATAAAATCAAATGATTTTAAAAACAAAATTCGATATTTTTCTCCAAAAAAAATAATTTTATATATATTTTAATTCTATTTTATAAACAAATTTCTTTAATATCAAATGAAATCAGAAACTTAAGCAACACAATTTTGGATACTCGAAGATAACGAATACTTTTTCAATGAAGGCAAATATGTCACACGATATTGAAAAAGAAATTCATTATTTTACACTTGCTGCAAATAAAAATGAACTGCAAGCACTATTTTATCTCGGTTCCATTCGTTATGAAAGCCAATATAACACATTCAATACCAATAAAGCAATTAATCTTTTTACACACACTAAAAATCAAACTAATACAATTTTCACAATTCTTTCGGTAGGCCATTTCCATAAGAAGTTTAATGAACAATTAAATCTCGATATTGCTTATTATGAAGGTGAATTTAACACATGAGACATCAGTAAAGCGATTCATTAGATGATGTCAATATTTAAAATCTATTTAATATTCTTGCGACTTTTTGTGCCCCAATTTTGCAGCACACTTGTAATACTCAATTGATTGAGCAGTGTCTGCTTTCTCCAGAATGCGTGCGAGATGGTACATTGAGTTTGGGTCTTCTTTTTCAGCTCCTTCAATGAAGATTGTCTTCGCTTTTTCAATGTCTGGTTCAACGAAAATTCCATTTAAAATGTAAAGCGCATAGTTGTTGACTGATGCGCTCGTCTTCTTCATCTTGTAGGCTTTCTCAAACCACTCAAAAGCCTTTGCTGAATTCTTCTTGTTTTGATCTTCTTCCTTTGAAAGCTCGAGGAAGTAAAGGCCAATGTCTGTCGCAGCCAACCTGTAGTAGTCTTCAATGCCGCTTTCCAGCATCATGCGGACTCCTTCTTGACTCTTTCTCTTTGTTCCGATTCCTCGTGCAATGAAGTGACCCAAAATGCACTGCGAAAACTTGTCGCCTCTCTTCTCTGGCAGTCTGCAGTGCAGAATCGTCTTCTTTGAAATGCTCATGAAGAAGACGGGCAAATAAGAAGCATGAAAGATTGAAGGAATGTTTATTTCTACAAGAGAATTAAAATTTTTTTAATAGATGAGCATCATCTAAAAGATGAATCGTTTATAAATGGAGTTGTAGATGAAATGATTATATCCTTGATTAAAGGAGTTGTAGATGAAATGATTATATCCTTGATTAAAGGAGTTGTAGATGAAATGATTATATCCTTGATTAAAGGAGTTGTAGATGAAATGATTATATCCTTGATTAAAGGAATAGACTAAAAAACGTTGAAATCACATAATGCTCTGATTGGATCAAATGTAATTGTCTTTAACTTGGATCATTTTTTCAAATTATTTTTACTGATGAAGGAACAATAATTTCATCCAATGTTTGCGAATTTTCTAAGCAATATTTATCTATTATTTTAAAAGAAAGAAGGAATACCATATATAATTTGTTTATCAGCTGTCTCAGTTGATATCGAAACTATATATTTAAAAATAAAAATTCTTATAAAAATTGACACTAAAAAACATTTTTATAAAAAATGAATAAATAATAAAGATCAAATTCTCACAATTTGCTGGCCAATTGGAAGCTCGTCTAACTTCTCCAAAATCCTCACGTAAGACTGATATTTTTCTGGAT